CTTTGACGTGGGGATTTCCTCATGTGGCAGATTTTCCCAGAATATAAACGTTAGCGCCAATGTGTGCTACAAATTCTTTAGAGCTAAAATATAAAACCAAGTAGTTATAGTTGCAGGGGATACAGTGAGGGAAGCCATTTGGATTTATTTGTTTTATGTTTTGGCTGTTCTGCGACTTGTCTATTAAGATGGGATCTTGCTAGGTCGTCCAGGCTGGCCTTGAACTTGTGATCTTCCTGCGTCAGCCTCATAGTAGGTGGAATTTCAAGCATGCGCTCCTGCTGGGGGAAAGTCTCAATTCCTGTCTGACTTGGCTCAGAGGCTTTCATGTGGCAGGTAAAGGAATGGAGCCGGGACACTGCGGTGGGCATTTCTGCCCACAGCAAAGCAAAACAGCATCACTGGGTGGCGCCTCCTGTGCTGAGAGAACCCTTCCCCAGCTCTGAGTGCGATGCTGGACAGAACCTTCCAATCCGTATGAATCCATCTTAGACAGTTCTGTGCTGAGGACTGAGCTCTTCTTTCCTACACGCTAGATTCAGTGCTGTATTCCGTAGGATGCTACTTCTTGCGGGGAAGGAAGCTTTACTCCAAGATTTACGAAAATCTCCTAAGATGTTGTGCCCATTTTCTTGAGACGTTAATTAAGTATTTATGAGTCCATTTGACGGACTTGGTTTTGATTGTTTTTGTGGTGCTGGGGTTGAACCCAGGGCCTTCAGGCTGAGCTGCATCGCCAGCACCCACTGTCTTGCTCTTGAGGCAGAGACTTGAACTCGTGATCCTCCTGCCTCAGCCTGTCCTGATCAGACCCTCCGGGAGAATGGCTGGGGACAGCTGTTCTGTTGTAGGGGGACAAACGGTGTCACGTGTGAGGCGTGGAGGCGGGGCGAGCCCAGGCCACGGTGTTGTTTTTGTTCTTTGGAACAAAGATTCAGGGACTCAGACTAGGAGGACAAGGCGCAGAATGACCAAGCAGACTCCAGGGAGGTTTCTGGAATGCTTCCACTTTTAATAAGTTCAGCCAGCAATTTATAAAGTTTTGAAAGAGGGAGTGGCAAAGGGGGAGTAATATATTTGGCTTAACAGGACTGGTTATTAGAGTGTCCTTGGACGGGTGATGGAGGCATCCAACTAGGGGGGACGGGCGAGGCCATAGCTCACATAGACGAGGCTCAGCACACGAGCTCGGCCTCTACCAGTGTACTAGGAGACACACGAGCGGCGCACTGTCCCAGCCAGACTTGTACCTCTCTTACAGGTGTGGTGCTGGGAAACTGAGGCAGGAGGGCCACACACTCCAGCCCAGCTCAAGTGATTTAGTGACTGCAAGATACCATCTCAAAAAAATACCCCAAGAAACAATAAATTGTAACTTTAGTTTTTAAAAAAGCCTTGAGATGAAATACACAGAACAATCACCAACATCTGTCATCTTCACCCTTGTGGGTATGGAGTGCTTCTCACGTGGATGTGTGTTCACAGATTTCCAGATCTTTCCTATTTAAAACTGCAACTCCGATTCAGGCGTGGTGGCACATACCTGTAATCCCAGCAGCCGGGAGGCTGAGGCAGGAGGATCTCTGTGAGTTCGAGGCCAGCCTGAACCGTGTAGGAGACCCTGTCTCCCCCAGAGCTGCAGTAAGCTGCACAGCTGATTGTTCTGATGTCTGTGTGGACTTTCAAAGCCACCAGTGTTGCCAACTGCTCCCCTCTCCGCCTCACTGTGTGGTGGGCAGTGCCCCCTCCAGTGCCGCCTGCCGTCTGTCCCCACGCTGAGCCCGTGGGCTCTTCCCTGGGTGCTGACTGTGTGGTCCTGGAACTGTCCCGCCTCAGCCTCCATTTGCTTTGTCATTGTGTCCTCCTCAGCTGTGTGCTCCGCTAATGGCTGAGTGACTTCTCCCACAGACTCGCACATGCATGGGTGTGCTGCAGGCACAGCCCTGTCTGCTGATCTATTTCTCTATCCTGGCTCAGACAGCACATTGCAGCTGTGCTATGTGGGTTCGCTTTGTTTCCTTTTGTACTGGGGATTGAAAGAAGGATCTTTGCACTGAGCTGTACCCCAGCCCTATTTTATTATCCTTTACTCTTTTTCGGTACTGGGGATCAAGACCCTTGTGCCAGCAAGGCTGGCAGGGTGCCACTGAGCTACATTCCAGCTATATTTTTTATTTTGAAATAGGGTCTCGAGTCTATATGTTGTCCAGGCTGAGATAGAACTTGCTGTCCTGCCTCAGCCTCCCAGAGTGCTGGGATTACAGGTGTGTGCCATCGTGATGGGCAAGTAGCTTTACAAATTCACTTGGAAGGCAAAGTTCACACACACACACACACACACACACACACACACACAGACACTAGAAATAAAAAAGCAAGCACAGTCAGGAGAGAAAGGCTTTAAAATCGCAGTGATTAATTGTTAGCTAGGCACGGTGCTGCACACTTCTATTCCCAGCACTCTGGAGGCCGAGGCAGGAGGATTGCTCAGAGTTCCAGGGCAGCCTTGGCTACACTGAGTTCAGGGCCAGCCTGAACTACAAACCCCACCCCCCTACCCCTCCACCCACGTCTCAAAAAAACCAGAAACCAAACTAAAAGAATACATAAAAAAGCCAGCATCGAGGCGTCACAGGCATACCCTGGGAAGGCCTGCTGCGCCCTGGCGGGTGGATTACACACCCGCGCTCTGCGCGCTCCAGAAACGCTCGGAGGGAGCCGCGGCCGCGGGCGGGAGGTCGGGAGCGCGGAGGAGCCGAAGGCCGCGCAAGGCGATAAGGCGATAAGCGGACAGGCTGCTCCCGCTGCACACACAGCAGCTGTGCACGAGTGCAGCTCTCTCCGTCGCTGTCACGGGTCCGCGCCAGGCTCTGTGCCCGCTTTCCTTGTCATCCTCCAAGCGGGTGGGGAGACCGGTCCTTCCGTGAGGTCTCCGGCCGCCCAGTGAGCCAGCCGCGATGCTCAGAACCAATGGGGCCCCAGGGAGAGGGCACAGGGCTCTGGGGCTCTGCGCCGGCCCAGTTCCCAGCCCCATCCAGGCTGCTCTGGGCTTGGTTTTCCAGTGAGGTGTGTGGCCGAGGCTGTGAGCGGCAGGGACAGGCCTGGGCTGCATGCACAGCTGCACGGTCCCGCTGGCCCCTGGAAGGCGGGGAAGGAGCAGGAGAGCTGCTGGGCTCCTGTGAGTCTCCCCAAGGCACAGGGCCTCCTGGAGGCGGCAGGACTGGCAGGCGTTCCAGGATGGCTCTGCTCCTCACCTGGTGACTGCCATGGGCCCGTGGGCTGTGGCACCAGCTCTTCCTGCGCTCAGGGCCCCTTGAAGGCAGGCCTGGCCTCCTCCCAGGTCAGCACCACCCTCGTAGCCCATCTCCAGTTGTTGGTGGGGGCCGCTGATCTTGAGCTTTGGTTTTCTGGTCATGGCCTCGCCTTGTGACCCTGGGCCGAGCACCCTGGCTGCTGTGCCTCTCCGGGACGGGCCGCCCAGAGATCCTGGGTAAGGCTCTCCCACAGCCGGGCACCTGAGTGGGCTGGGAGCTGATGCCCAGCAATGGGTGTGCTGGGTGCGGAGCTGGCTGGGAGGACAGGAGCTGTGGTCGGATGGGCCGGTGTGAATGGCGGAGCCCCTCGCACTGCTGGTGGCGTACAGTTGTGCAACCTCATGGACTAGTGTCTCGTCTCCTTCCTCAGGGATGATGGGCAGGCTGTCCCCCGACGGTGAGTGTGGGGCTTTACCCTGTTCCTGCTCTGTCTTTCCTCCTGTCTGCAAGGTGGCTCTCAAGGCTCTGTTTATCTGAGTCTGGTGCAATGACCACCACCTTTCTTATCCCACAACATCACCGCTAGCATTTTACCCAACAATTGTTATTCTGTGGGTTTCTTAAGTTTTAAAGTTTAAGTTATATACACATAGGAGAAGGTTGCAGGAACATAAAATAAAGTCAGACTCTGCCAGGAGTGGTGATGCACAACTGTAATCCCAGAATTCTGGGAGGCTGAGGCAGGAGGGTTGCAAAGTTGAGTTCAGCCTGTGAAATTTAGCAACTTGTGAGACTCTGTCTCAGAATTAAAAATAAAAAAGGGCTGGAGATGTAGCTCTGTGTGAAGGCCCTGGGCTCAACTTCAGGACTGAAAGAAAGGAAAGAAAGCAGGAAGGAAAGACAAAGCCACTGATTCCCCCCGCCCCCACCGGGAAGCAGCATCACCGCTGAGCTCCGCCTTGTTCTCATGGATGCTGCGGTGCGCAGATGCACATCCTCAGCTCCTGAGGTGGTGTCATGAGCTTCGGCGACCCCACTTTTCCTCCTTTCTCAGATACCTGCACAACTCAGTCCTACTCCTGTCAGTTAGTGAGTCTCTTTTTCATGGACATTTAAAGGTTTTTCCTCTAATATATTTTTTTTGTTTTTTTTTTTTTTTTTTTTTTTGAGGCAGGGTCTCCCTTTCTAGCGCAGGCTGGCTGTGAACTTGTGGCAATCCTCCTGCCTCAGCCTCCCAAGTGCTGGGCGTGAACCACCACGCATTATATTTCTTATTTGGGTTTTGCTTCAGTATCTTTCTATGCCATTGCAAACAGAACTGCAGCAAACATCCCTGTGTCATCATTGCCTTCCCTACTTTTGCAAACACACTCATGTCCAGGTCCAGCAGGAAAATGGTCCCCGAGGAGAGCTGCGCTGTACACTTGGACGGAGGCTCAGCAGATTTGCCTCACAGACACAGCTCATGAGAACGCTTGTCTTCTCCGTTCAGCAACAAAGATATGAACTCTGACGTTTTTGGTCGTGCAGTGGCTGACAAGAGCTGTCCCTCTGCAAGTCCCCAGACAGACTGGGCCCCACAGGAGCTCTCCTGCGTCCACAGCCTGCAGGGCTCCGGGTCCCGGGGTTCAGTGAGTTTTCTCTTAAATAAACGGTAAAAGGGGACTTTATATCATTTGAGTAGGTGGAAAGCAAATGTTAGTTGACACAAGAAGCAGACAACTGCAGAACTGGATACAATGGAAACAAAGCACCATTTAATGATAGGACACTGTGGTTGCACAGCCTAGGAGGCTGAGGCAGGAGGATCGCAAGGTGGAGCCCAGTCCGGGCAATTTTGTGACTTAGTGAGACCCTCTTGCAAAGTGAAGGTATTTTTTGGTAAAGTTTCTTTTAAAGAAGGCACGAGAGGAAAGCAGCAGCTAAGAACAGGTCCCACTCCCGAGTGTGGAGTGGTCTCCTCCCTTCCTTCCCTGGGGAGGGGAGGTGCCTTGGCCCAGCCTGGCCACGTGCCCAGGACTTTCTGGTGCAGGTGCTGAGCCCTGGTGGTTTGGCCCCTGTTCCTACTCCTGTTTTGGAAGGAGGCTGTGGCTGGGCGGCTTTGATCTCGGGCCAGACTGAGAGTGGTGGCCATGCCTGGAGCCTGGGTCCCCCACGTTCCCGGTGCTGCGCCTCGGCCCTGAGTCCACCCTCCAGGCTCAGGCCTGCCTGGGCTTGGGAACCCCGCGTCCCTGCCCGCTCCCACAGCCTCCTGTCACGCCCGCCTCTCCCTCTCCCTCTCCCTCTCTCTCTTTCTCTCTCTCTGCTCTCTGTGCACTGGGCCCTGCACGCTCCAGACCGGACGGAAGAGGAAAGTGAGTCCCGGCACCCGCCGCTGAGCTCCTCCGTCGGCCCAGGGTGGTGGACCTGGGGAGGCGGGGACCCCTGGGCTCCCCCAGGCCAGCCCCAAACCATCCCTCAGAGCACGGGACAGAGCCAGGGCACTGCGCTGACCCTGATCTCTCCTTTCTTTGTTCCATGTCCACCCCACTGGCCGCTGCTCCTCCGTGAAAAGTGAGTTCCTCCCCGCTGTGGGGCTGGGGAGAAGGTGGAGAGGAACCGGAGGAGTCATCCTGGGCTGGCCCTACCAGGGAGGCCGAGGAGGTCTGGGCCTGGGTGTGTGAGCCACAGTGTCAGGTCCCCTGCACAGGGCACAGCCCTGCCTGGAAGGGAACCCAGGTGACGAGGGTGCTCTTATTTATTTAGTTAGTTGTTGTTTTTGAGGCAGGGTCTCCCTTTGTAGTTCAGGCTGGCGCTGAGCTATGTAGCCCAGGCTGGTCTCGAACTCCTAGTAATCCTCCTGCCTCAGCCTCCAGAGTGCTGGCAGTGCACCACCAATCCTGGCTATTTAGAGTTTTTTTCAGACAGGGTCTCAGTACCAGGCCTCCTCCTGCCTCAGGCTCCCAAGTTCTAGGATGAGAGGTGTGCAGCACCGTGCCTGGCTTCAGGAATGATCTCTGTGATTTTCCCAACCTCTGGACCACCCTGAAGGGAAGCGAGATCGGGTCGATCTCCAGGATCTCCAGGCCAGGCAGCGTGGGTGTGGTGAGCGCCGGCCCGAGTTCTAGGACTGGAAGAATAACCCGCGTGACCGTGTGCCGTGGCGGGAGCCCGTGCAGCCTGGGGATCCGCGGTGGGCGCGGGCAGCAGCCTCAGCCCCTCTCCTCTGTGTGCCCCGCTGCTGCCCGGTTCTGCTTCACGACCGCTGCAGGACTGAAACGTGAGTCCACACCGCGCCCCACGGGCGGAGATGAGAACCTCCCTGGGGTGGGAGACCCCGGCCCTGTGGTGGCCCCTGGCAGTGGGGCTGGGTCCTGCAGGCTGCTCACACACTGCCCCAGGGGGCGCAGTGGGGCAGGCGGCAGCTGCACAGCTTTCTCACGCTTTAATCACCCACAACGCCCCAAGGGCGGCTTCGTCAATGACAGCATGCCCGCCCGGTGCACATGCAGCCCTGTGCAGCTGCTGTCCGCGCTGCCTCACACCTTCCTCTGCCAGGCGTGGTGGCGCCTGCCTGCAGTCCCAGCTCTCCGGAGGCTGAGGCAGGAGGATCCCTTTGGGGTGATAAAAGTGCTCCCACGGTGACTAGCGATGGCTGCACAACTGGAAATGCACCACAAACACTGCCTTCTGCCCCGGCAGCGGGGGCTGTAAGTGGGATGAACCACGTGTAGATCAGGTGTGCTAAGAGTGGGCTCTGGAGACCTGGGCCTGGCATTGCCACCTAAGGGGCTCCCGAGAGGCACTCACCACAGGGACCAGGCCCGGGACTGCGGGGTCCCCACCTCTGCCCCCCTGACCATGCCTTTGTCCTTCTGCTGGCCGGGCTCTGCCACCCCTGGACACTCACACGGCCTCTGCCCCGCCTGGCGCTGCCCTCCCGATGGTGGCAGAGATCCTGGGTGAGCCCCTCGCTGAGCCGGGCGTGCTGGGCGAAGCCAGGTGGCCTGTGGGCTGGGGCGGGCTGACCGGCCGCCCGTGACTCGCTTCTGTCGCTGTCTCCAGGTTTGCTGGGCCTGCAGGTGCTGAACGGTGAGTCTGGAGGCCCCCCTGGCGTGGCTCCCTCCACGTGGAGAAGGTGGGGGATTTGCTCTCTGTGCTGGGGTCTGCGGGGCCATTGGGCCTCACAGGACGTCACACTCTTCACCTCCATCTTTGTCAGCGTACTCTTGCTTGTCCAACAAACATTAATGAATGTGCCATCTTAGTCTAGGTGTTGGGGGTGGAACAGGGAATGAAACAGACAAAACCTGTGTCCAGATGAACTGGCATTCCAGCGAGAGGAGAAAGAAAAGACACAAAGAAATAGGTTGCAGTGGGAGTCGTGGCGCACACGCCTGTAATCCCAGCATTTTAGAAGCCTGAGTCAGGAAAATCAGAAGTTCAAGCCCAGCCTGGACAATTTAGTAAGACCCTGTCTCAAAAAATAAGCCAGGTGTAGTGGTGCATGTCTCTTAATCTCAGCACTCAGGAGGCTGAAGCAGGAGGATCACCATGGGTTTGAGGCCAGCCTGGGCTACATAGTGAGACCCTGTCTCAAAAACAAATAAACAAATAAAAGAGGCTGGGGAGTTAGCTCGGTGCGGTCCCCAGTGCCAAAGAAAGAAAGACAAAGACAAGCAACAAAGAGGTTACGAGTGTGGCATTCGGTACGTTCTTTGGAGGCAGCAGAGTGAAGCAGATGGGGCGCAGTGCAGAGGCTGACCGGGTTTGAGTGGTGATCAGGAAAGGCAACCCTGAGAGATCTGCAGGTGGTGAGGGAGCCAGACACACCTAGACACAGAAAGGATCTCACAGGATGGCATGTGCAAAGACCCTGGGGCAGGGAGGAGCATGCGGCAGCCCCTTCTCACCATGCAAGGGCCTGGTAGCATTGCCCATAGGTGGGTCTCCTTCCAGTTCGGAATTCACTGGTCACTTTTCTCTGCTTCCTCCTCCTCTTCCTCTACCCCTCTTCTTCCTTCTTAGATGAAACAAATGACTGCAGGGAAGGTGAGTGAAGGCGCGGTGCCTTCTCCCGTCCTGCGTGTGGAGGAGCGGGTACATCCGCGCATCCCGCCTGCTGCCTGAGGTGGGCTGAGCGGTGCTTTTATTTTCTCCTGCTACCCAGTGATCCCCATCTCCCCTGGAAGTGACCGTAAGTCCTGGGTAACAGGGTCGTGGAGACCAGGCAGGACCTGGCCCAGTGCCTGTGCTGTGGTGAGAACCGGCCAGGCATCAGACGGTGAGTGGCGGGGAGGAGGCTTCCTGGGGTCTGCTGCCCCTGTCAGGGCCCTGTCACCGCTGGGGGCCACTCCTGTGAGGGCAGGGAGCAGGAGCTGGAGCTTGGGCACACACCGCTGCTCGGACTGGAGCGTCTCTCGGAGTGGCGGTGAGCCTGCTCCTCAGCTGCGCCCGGCCGGTGGTGACACTCGCTGCAGCCCCTGTGCGTAGCCATTGTCCTTATGCGCCCCCGCCCTGTCCACAGCTGACTTTAGCCTAAATGGGCACAAAACCAGCGTCACTGGACGGCATCGTGGCCCACACCAACGCCTGCTTCTGCAGCGCCGTGAGGCGGACGCAGAGCACACACACTTTCTCTTGTACCCGGAAGGGAGGCGGCTTTGGGGTCCTGGCCAGAGATTCTGAGTCCCAAGGGCTGCTCCAGACGGGTTTTAGAAAAGCAGTCACCCCCGGCAGCACGTCAGTGACACTTTACCGTGTGACACATTCAGCCTGCTCAACAAAGTCGATCTGTTTCTTCAGAAGAGAATGAAAACTCTGTTCAAGCTGGCAGATAAAATGCCTGCGTTCAAAGCCAAGCTGGGGCGGTGAGAGAACAGTGAGTTTTTCTGTCTGTCTGTTTTTGTACCAGGGATCGAACTCGGCACCTCGCGCTTGCGAGGCAGGCGGCGGCACTACTGAGCTGAGTCTCCAGCCCAAACAGTGAGAGTTTCGATGCGTTTCAAACATTAGCAAAGATTTCAAAAGAGCCTGAGCCGGGGCCTCCTTCTCTCCGCTGGTGCCTCGTCCCCACCTCAGCTTTCAGGGGAGTTTGGCCATTGCTTCCCCACTGCAAGGGACCCAGACGGGAAGAAACGGTCCGCGGCCTGTTTGTGAGGGAGCCAGGGAGGCCGACTGTTCATCCCGGAAGAAGATCGCCCACGACGGTGTCCAACCCGTGTCTGAGACGACTCCCAGCCTCACGAGTGCCGCACTGGACACCTGAGACGGCCACAAAAACACCGGGAAGCACACGTCCGCTTCCCACTTCCTTTCTTCATGAAGCAAGGTTTCCTGCAGCGACAGCAGCCGCAGGGAGACCCCAGAGAGGGCTGGACGCGAGTCAGCGTCCCCGTCACCCGATGGGACTGTCTTGTTGCAGGGCTCCCGTCAGTTTTGCATTATGGCTGCATCCTGCGACGAAATAAAACGCACCACAGATGTAACTGGCACTGGGGCCGGAAATGTGGCTGCTCCAGGCACCCCCGATGCCGCCACAACACCTGTGTGAAGTCGTGAACAGGTGTGGACGTTGGCAGGGGACTGGAATTCACAAGGAACGTGGGAAGTCTAGACTCGAGAAGGCAACTGAAGTTCCGAAGTCAGTTTCTGCTGTTGGGCTTCACAGCAGAAAGGACACACAGAAAACGGGTTAAAGGAAAGTGCTGCGAAGCCAGGCGGGGTGGCGCACCCGTCACCCCAGGGCTCAGGAGGCTGAGGCGGGAAGATCAGCGTGAGTCTGAGGTCAGCCTGGGCTACGTAGCAAGACCCTGTCTCCAGGACCTTGTTTCAAACAAAACAAAGCAACATAAGAAGAAAAGAAAAGAAGGAGACAGCATGCCGAGATGCACAGGAACTAGGGAAGTGAAGGTGCAGGAAGTGACAAGACCCAGGGAGAGCGGCCAGCAAGGTGTGTGGAGCTCTGGTTCCGGTTCCGGAAGGAGCAGGGAGAGGAGGAGGAGACAAAAGTGAAGCCCTATCTGAGGGTTAAGGGCTGAAGGTTTTGCACGTTGATGAAAATCATCGAGTGACAGATTTTAAAGATTCTGAGAACCTTGGGGAGCAGATCTAGAGAAAACAGCTTCTCTGAACGCTGCCCCAGAAAACAAAGACAATAGGGAAATATTTTAAAACTACACCTTCTTCCTGGAAAAACAGACAGGTGCCCACATCCTAGGACTACAGTAACAAAACACCAGAGACGGCCGGTCTTGCTCCCCCTGAGGCTTCTGCCTGCCTCTCAAGGCAACTGCTCGCACACGGAATCTTCCAGAAAATCAAAAGCAGCCATTTCCCAACTCGACTTGAAGACAAAATCACCCTGAGGAAAGATAAAGTACAAGAGAGAATTTCAGGTCAGTTTTTTCTCACAAAGTCAGATGTGAAATTCTAAACTCATATTAACCAAAGCAACTGGGGAACATATTTTTTAAAAAGTATAACCAAATCGAGTTTATTCCAACGATGCAAAGATTATTTAATATATGCAAATCAGTATGTGTAATTCTCCTCTTATTAACATAACAAAGGAAAATTACATCATCATCTCAACAGACACAGGACAAGAACCGGGTAAGGCTCAGCAGTTATCCATGTGGTTTCTCATCTCGGCAGACGGAGGACAGAAGAGGACGCTACTCTCTGACAAGGAGCAGCTGCCACAAGCATCCAGGGAGGGCAGTGCTGGGACGGTGGTTGAGCACCTTCGCCAGACCCTGCACGAGACTCCGTGTCCCGTTTGCCCGAGGTGCTCTGCCCAGGCAGATCCCGTCCAGGCACCAGGACCACAGAGGAAGAAAGAAAGCTCTTTGTCACCGCTGTGGTTTTGTGACTAGCGGAACCTTTGCCTGGGATCGTGCACCTTAAGATTGGGCCGGAGTTCAGGGAGCACAGCCTGAAACAAAATTCAGGGCAGTGCACAACTTGCGATTAGAGCACTTGATGTCCTAGGCCCTCGGGCTGCAGGTCCTGACTTCAACCCCGAGCGCAAAACAAGCCGTAAGAATTCTCCAAGAAAAGGTAGAAGAGAACAGTTTCAGTTTAATGAATGAGCAGCAAACCAAAAGGCTGAGAGACCGCACAGACAGGAAGAACTCTCGCCCTCCTCCGAGTACCTGACACCCTTGACTTAAAGGAGGACGGGTTCATTTGGGCTCATACTTTACGAGTCTCAGCCCCTGCGTGGTTGGCAGCATGGGGAAGGGTCCGGGGGGGGGGCGGGGGAGCCGCTCTTGCCAGACAGGAAGCAGAGAGAACGGAGTGGCTCAGGAGGCAGAAACCCCCTCAGGCCAGGGCCCGGCGACCCCCCCCCTTCCCGCCAGACCTCGCAGTCCTCCCCTCCTGGAGTTCGGCTCTGGCCAGGGTCCCATCGCCTTCTGCAAGCCTTGCCTCTGAGTGCGGGGGCTTTTGGGGACTCAAAGGAGACGTCCCCTGAAGTCGATGCTCCGAGAAAAGGAGGGCACTCTTGGCACTCGCAAGAGGGACAATTATATATTTGTCTTTTCTGATTCATTGTGCGGCATTGACCTTTACACTGGGAATGTTCAGTGTTTTTGATTTGGGGACCTGTTTAGACAGGTATGTTTACCAATGAAAACAGAGTTTTCCTGGTTGTAATATTTGTAAAATAAAAAGACAAGGGCAGAACGCTGGGGAGGTCAGAGCAGCTCCTGTACTTAGGCTGAACTGTGGAAGGGGCCTGGGTGTGGGTCCCCTGGGAGTGCGACGGTCGGAGGGAGGCAGGAGAGGCCGGGGAGGAGCGGGCCAGGGGGGTCAGACTCGGCTTTGGGAGATGGGGCAGCTGGAGCTGCAGTGACACCGGGTGTACCCCAGTCTCCCGGGCCACACAGGCATGTTGCACGGCCAGGAAGGGCAGGAGTTTCCGGACTGCAGGGGGACGCTGGGGCAGCACAAACCGTGTCTGTGGTCATTTCCAGAGAGGCCTGTCCCGGCCACCAGCCCCGGGAAGCCGCTGCAGAAGAGGAAGAGCTGGAGCCTCCTGAAGTGCACGTACATGGCCCTCACCTTCCTGTTTGTGTCCTACAACACAGGCGACTGGGTAAGGAGGCCGTGCTGCTCCCCCAGGGTGGGGCGGGAGGGACCGGAAGGGCCTCCCTGCTGCCGGTGGACGGTGGTACTTGTTCCGTCCCGCACACAGGGGGCCCGTGAGGACCATGGCCCTGCTGGCCCCGGGGACCCCAAGGGACCTTGCAGGGCGGTGCTCCCAGGAGCCGAGGAAAGGGCTCAGAGGATTCCTGGGGGCCCTGGCAGCGTCCTCAGAGCTCGGAGGGAGGGCAGCAGGAAGGTGCCCAATTGGCCGGCTGGGCTTTCTCCTCCCGCGGTAGTCACTCGTGGAGCGTGGGTCTCTCTGAGGGTCCCTGAGCCCACGGGGCCCCTGACAGGGCCAGGCAGCCGGAAGAGAAGCGAGCAGGAAGCTCAGGCAAGACGGACATCAGGGTGATGGCACAGGGCAGGCCTGAGGGGCCACAGCCTAGGGAAAGAGGGGGCCGGCGCTGCGGGAGGATGCGCCTTGACTCTGTCTGGTGTGGGCTGCGAGTGGTGGGAGAGCTGGAGCTGGGGACAGCCAGGGACAGGTGGAGCGGAGGCGGGAGGCGGGTCAGGCAGCTGCCAGTGGCGGTGAGCGGGGCGGGGGGGCCCCAGATGTTGCCTAGGACTCTGTGCCCCCAAGGGGACGCAGCGGGGCCTGGAGGAGGCCCCTTCACACCTGCACCACCCTAGAGGGGCCTCACGGGGTTCCCAGCCTGTGGCTGTGGCCTTTGGGGGGCCCAGGAGAGCCGGCTGGGAGACCAGGCTTACGACTGCAGGCCAGGTGCCGGGACGGGGTGGAAGAGGAAGCCAGAAAAGGAGCGCCCCACTCACCTCTCTGTTCCCGCCCCTCCCTGCCGTCCTGCAGTGCTACTGCCACTATTGTAACCCGACGCAGAGGCACAGAGGTGTGAGGAGAGGGTCCTAGTCCCACACCCACAACTTCCAGCCATAGCCCAACGGTGGATGAGGTTAGACAGAACTGGAGAGGTTCATGCCCGAATTCACTCAAATAGTAATATATATTCAGATTTTAGAAACTGTGGTAAAATACACAGAACATAAAAATTTATCTGGCTGGGTACAGTGCTACATACCTGTGATCCCAGCACTCTGGGAGGCTGAGGCAGGACGATCACAAGTGCACACCCAACCTGGGAAACCTAGTGACTTAGTGAGACCCTGTTTCAAAAAAAAAAAAAAAGTAGAAAAGGGGCTGGGGCTGTAGCTCAGGGTGAAGGCCTGAAGTTCAGCCCCTAGAATAAAAAAAGTTCCATTAGTGACCTTATACTCACAACCATCACCACCATCTGTTGCCAGAACATTTTAATCATCCCCCGAGGGAACTCTGTACCATTCGGGTGTTCCTTCTCGCAGGCCTTGGGGCCACTGATCTCCTCTGTCTGTTGATTTACCTGCGCTGGACATTTCGCATCAGTGCAGTGTATGGATTTCCCCTCAAGCTTTATTCACTTAGCATCGTATCTGCAGATTTCCTCTATGTTGGAGCGTCTATGCATACACCATTCCTTTTCACACCCGAATAATATTCCACTGTGTGGATATACCACATTTGTTTACCCATTTATCAGTTGAAGAACATAACTGTTTCCACTTTTTAACTATTATGAATAGTGGTTTTATGAACATTTGTGTACAATTTTTTTCCCAGTACTGGGGATTGAACTCAGGACCTTGTGCTTACAAGGCAGACACAGAGCCACTGAGCTAATCCCCAGCCCCATTTGGATACAATTTTGTGTGAACCTGTTTTAAATTCTTTTGAGGACACAATGAGGAGTTGGACTGCTGGGTCATGAAATTCTGTGTTGACCTCACAGAGAAACCCACTCAGTGAATTTCTCTTGACCCCTGTTCTTTGATGGAACCTCGATTGAGTGGTGAACAGGGTGGAGAAGGTTCCTGTGCTCATGCGAAATCAGAAATCAAGTGAAAAGGAGGACTGAGGATGATGTGATGTTCCAGCTCCAGAGGCACAGAAAACAGAGGAGCCTTCTCTGGGACCCGGGTAGTCGTGAAAGCCGCCCGGGAGTGATTCAAAAGCAAAGGTCTGCAGGTGGAGTAGCAGCCAGCCAGACCGAGCGGCACAGCCCAGGGGAAGGGACCTGCTGGGCACAGGCCCGGGCGGAAGGTGGCCCAGTGGTGCCTGGGCCTGAGATGGCAGGGAGCTCGGTGAGCAGGGCGCCACCCGGAAGACATAGAAAAGCAACCTGGATTTTCTCCTGGGAGCTGCGGAAAGGTTTCCAGTGGGAAGCCGGGCGCTGCCATGGCTGGGCAACTGCCCTCTCCCGCCTGCCAGCCTCCGTCCCCGGCCGGTGGCCAAACCCTCTCTATACAACATGCGCCTGGGCCTTGTGATGCCGCCCTGCTGTAAACCCCCCCAGATCCTCACCAGCTGTGCTGGCTGACTCCAGCCTCACAAGAAAACAAAACCAGAGTGCTGTTCTGCTGAGATCTTACATGGAAACCCACACAACACTGGGAAGATCCAGGGGGGCTCCTTGTCACCAGGGGTCCACGGTGCCAGCCTTTAAGGCCCAGGTCTTTCAGGGTGGTCTCCCTCGGCTTGTCCTGTGTGGGGAAGTCTCAGCCCGCAGAGCTGACAGGAGCCAGTGCTTGCGGTTTCCTCACCGTCTGCTGAGCTCGGGTGGCCCCGTCAGGTCTCAGAGCTCACCAGCGTCTGGGGCACGAGCACACGACTGGGGGCTGTTGGTCTGATGACTGGAGAAGCTGAGCTCATGTCCTGGATTTCCCCGCAGATTTCTAAATAGGTTCATTTTTCAGACGAGGAACCCGAGGGCCGGCTCTGCCTGTGTCACTGGCTCTGAGGTACCGCTTCAGGCTTCGCATTTCTCTGGAGTCCTCTCTGTATCTGTTTTCCCCTCCACTCCCACCCACACAACCTCCGTGGCCTGTATCGGGCCATCTGTGACGTCCTGAGAATGCACATTTTCCTACTTCTTTGTGGACCCAGGCGTGTTGGTCCTTTGCACCAGAACAGGTTTCATCACTCTGTCTGCGGAAAACTCCCGGGCCGAGGATCACCCAAGTGGCACTGGCTGGAGAGAACAGCTGCATGAAATGGGTGGCTGGCATTGGAGGCCTCCTGCCCAGACTTGGAAGCACCAGGCATCCGTGGTTTTATGTTGGGATCTTGGGGTCTGACTCCTTAGGCCAGAGTTGGGACTTTCTCTGTGAAGGGCCAGTGTGGGTTCTGTTACAATTACTCAATACTGCTGTTTTGCCCAAAGCAACCACGGATCACATTTACACAATGAGCCCGGTGGGTAAATAGCATGTTCTGTACAGTGGAATATTATTTAGCCATTACGAGGAATGGATTTCTGATATGTGTGAGACAGGTGAACCTAGAAAGTGTTATGCTAGGGCTGGGGATTTAGCTCAGTGGTTCCGCAGCCTGCCTCACAAGTGCAAGGGCCTGAGTTCAATCCCCGGTACTCCCCCCGCCAAAAAAAGTGTTACGCTATGTGAAGGAAGCCAGACACAAATGACCATGTGAGGTATGATCTGTTTACTTGAAATATCCAGAATAGACAAATTCAGAGGCAGAAAGCCAATTAGTAGTTGCCAGGGGTTGAGGGAGGGCTGCTAGGGTAAATGATTTCATGCCTGGTTTATTTTTGGATTGGCAACAACTTTCTGCTAGTAGATCTCTTTGGGAGCAAGAAACATGTCTTGCTACTCGGGTTCCTGTGCCCATGAGCAAGCCTGCACCCTCGACTGCACTAACCCTGCATACTGTACGGCCAGGTTGAGGCCTGCAGAGCCGCTTCCAGGCGAGGATACCTGCTCTCTGGAGTGCGCCCTCTAGCGGCAGGGAAGTAGACAAGCAATCTGCTTTCAGTGGTCTAGGAAGGCCTAAGGGGTGCTGTGGCTGAGGTGCTGGAGGGGAGGCTTCCCAATGTATCTGGAAGAGCCCCTCTTTGAGGAGGAGGACTCTATGCTGGGTGACAGGGAGGAGCCGGCCTCGATGAGCTCTTGAGGGGACACAGCAGGTGGACCAAGGTGGGAGGCTGGGCTAGGTGGGTCCCACAGAGCCCCGCAGGGGTGCTGGGATGCACAGGCAAGGATTTTGAGCGCTCGTGAGGATATAAATAAAGGCACAAACCTGTTTCTCTCCACTTCCTTCCCTTAGAAATGATCCCTGCTGCTCCTTCTAGCCAGCCCACTTTGTCTCAGCTGAGCCCTCCTAGGTCCTCTCTCTCACTAGCGTTTTACTCCCAAGAAATCTCTGTCCTCCGGGTGGCTGATGTGGAGAGAAAGGAAAGCACCGTCTGTCAGAGGCCCGACAGAAGCCATTCTGAGGACCTGGCCCAAGACGGAGACTTGGAGAGTGGCCGATCTGCACCCCAGGGCGTCTCTCCTGGCCCGTCCAGTCCTTCCCCACCGCCTCCGTAATGAAATGTGCACTTACTGGATTGCGGTGTGTGTGGTTCCTCCCACTGTCAGCATCAGGAATCACACACTGCTGCACGTTCTCCTGACAACAGTCCTACGGGGTTCTGTGACACTGCCTAGCACAGGGAAGCGGCACTGGCCCAGGGGGTTCAGAGCTGAGATCCCGCCTGGCTGTGCCTGGTTCTGAAGTCCCTACTCTTTCATGTAACGATTTGGGGCTCCCACCAAGGAAATGAATATGGGCCTGCAGGCTTTTCCTGAACCATACTGTGAGCTAGCATGTGGTCTATTTTGGAAAACATCCCATGTGCACCTGAGAAGAATGTATTCTGATGTCATGGGATGGAACACTGCCCACATCTACTAAGTCCATTTGTTCAGAAGTTTGGTTCAACTCTGATTCTTTGTTGATTTTTTGGGGTCTCCTTGATCTATTTGTGGCAGTGGGGTATTGAGATCCCCTGTCACACTGTATTTGTGCTTATTTGATTTTTCATGTCCAATCCTATTTGTTTTATATAGTTGGGTGCACTGGTATTTGGTGCCTATATATTATGATTGTTATCTCTTCCTCTTGGCTTGTTTCCTTTTCAAGGATGCCTTGTTCATCTTTGGCTCTCTTAATCAGCTTTGGCTTGAAATCCGTGCTCTTTTCTGGGCTCCTGTCTCATGGACTACTGTTTTCTGTTCTTTCATTTTCAGTCTATGAAATTCTTCTTTAATCAAATGTGTTTCTTGAATGCAGCATATTGTTGGTTCTTGCTTCTTGATCCATTCTGCCAGTCTGTTTCTTTTGATTAATGAATTGAGACATTTACATTGATGGTTATAACTGATATGCATTGAGTTGTCATGTTATTTTCCTGTTGTTGGTTCCCCCCCCCCTTAATTTCTTGCCTTGCCTGGTAGGTTCATTCTGTTGGGGTTCATGGAGTTGCAGTGATTATTACTGCTAGAATGTCCTTCACAATGCTTTGGAGTGCTTGTTTGGTGGTCTTTATTTTATTCAGGTTTTCTTTCTCAAGGCAGTATCTTCTCCATCAGTTTGGAAGGCAGTCATGTGGGTACATCAATCTGGATTGGAGACTCTTTTCTTTTAGGGATTGAAATACTTCAAGATTTCTTTGACTTCAGAGCTTGTGTTGAGAAGTTTGCTGTTATTCTTTTTTTGTTTTGTTTTTGGTACTGGGGATCAAACTCAGGACCTTGCACTTAAGAGGCAGATGGTGGCGCCACTGAGCTAAGTTCCCAGCTGGTCTGCTGTGATTCTAATGGGTCACAATCTGCAGCTTAAATTGAAAGTAGCCTGGAGAAATAAAGCAGAGTCCCAGGGGAGACGGAAGAGCCTGACCTGCTGGTCCTTTGTTGCCTTGGCATCCTGCCAATCAGCCACTGTCGCAATGCATAGCAATCGGATGTAACAGGCTGAGGCCCTTTGCCTGCTCCCTGGAATCACTGAATCCCCTTTCCAAGCCAGGAACTCAGTTCTGAGGCGCCAGGCCACACAGTCTCACCTGCCCAGATCCTGGTCTCAAGACCTCGAGATCTTCAGTGACTCTGGGTTGAGTTGTCCCAGACAGGCCCACACCCATCAGGCAGCAAAGGCAGATTGGAGCTAAGAGTCTCTGCCTTCGTCTGGCATTTGTCTGCTTGTCACCTTTTCATGGTTCTATCTGGGTGTCCCCAAGCCTCATGAACTCACAAGTGTGGCTTTTGGGAGAGGACCAGATCACAGGACTGGCTCGCAGCTGTGACGCTGGACCAGTCCACGGCTGGGTTTACAGCTGTAAGTGAGGCTGGGAGGTGCAGCCTGGCGGGAAGAGGATGTCGCTGAGAGCAGGGCCTGGAAGTACCTCTCCTTCCCGCTCCCCTGGCCCCACTGCTGCCTCCTGCCCGCACACCATGGACTGTTTCTCCTCTGCCTTAGACACACCTCTGTCTTAGAGCCAGACAACTATGACCTGAAACCTTACAAACTGTGAGCTTTCCTCTTTTAACTTTGGGTATCAGGTATTTTGTCCCAGCAATGAGAAAGTAATTAGGACAGAAACCGTAACACTTTGAGTCCTACCTGTGCTCAGTCCTGACCTGGCAGTCCGAGAATGGCGCTTACAAGGTCTTCACCCAGGTTTACCTCACCCACTGCATGCCCCTTCAGACCAGGACACCAAGATCAGGACTTCTCGGCAACGTTCAGCTGCCAGCTCCTGCCCCAGTGCAGGTGCTCCAAAGTCCCCAGCCATTGTCCCAGACCTGCAGCCACCTGCACTCCACCTCCTCAGCTCTTCATGGTCAGTAATGCCAAGCCTTCCCCATGTCCATATGGCTTTGGCCTGAACACATTAAAAAAAAAAAAAGCCTGGATTGGGGCACAGGACAAGCCTCCTTCTTACCCCCCACCTCTGCACCATCATCCACTCAATCAGCAAAATGTATCCAGAGCTGGGTGCACACTCATCACAATGTCCTTTGCAAGTGCTTCAGAATCCTGCTCACGTCTAACCCCAAAGCAGTCACGCATGACATTTGCATGAATACAGAATGGCCACTGTAATTTTACTGGTACATATGCACACATATTTACTGAAACACATTTAATATGTTTACACATTTTATAATGCAGTCAAATCTTGTTTTCTTGTGTTTTAGTGCATTTTGCAGATAGTAAATTTTCCCCAAGCCAGGGACCACTCAGAGGCAGACAAAGAGCAGGTGGGATTCTTCCTCCACAGAAGCAGAAGGCGCTGGGGGTACTCACTTGAGACTCTCGGTCACAGAGCCTGGCACTTCTCGTGGATGTCTCACCCAGCCACACGAAGAGTCCCAGCCACACCACCACAATCCCGGCTCCCATTACATGCGGACAGAGCACACTCAGTCACACATGCCGTAGGCACGCACTTGCCCACTGTCACACACACACACACACGGTGACAGGCAGGCTCCCCCGAAGGTGAGGGCTGGTGCTCCAGTCACACACCAGCCCACTCCCGGGGACTCTGGTTTCTCAGCCTCCCGGCCCAGGCCAGGGAGACCCCGTGCAAAGAGGACGCCTGGATTCTGGTGCTGGCTGTAAGGTCAGCTGCCTGGCCTCCTGGGGGAAGCTCAGAGCATGGGCCCAGCAGGGCTCGGGCTCTCAGAGGCCGACCTTCAGTGCTCAGGCCAGCTGGACAAGGCCGCGTGGTCTTAGGGAACCAGAAACTTTTCCCTCAGCCCAGGGCTCCCCAAACTTTTCCACTGAAGTCCCCCCAAACAGCAGAAAGAACGGCACCCGCTCTTGAGAGATGACTTATGGAAGTCACCAAAGAGGCAGCCAAGTAACGTGTCATCCTGAGGTTCCCGGCACCTCTTGGCCATTCCTTCGCTCGACCAGGTGCTCAGAATCTGCTAGACCTTGAAGGAGTGAGCTCAAGAACTAACCTGAAGGGGTGTGAGGAACACGGCTCTGGGGTTAGCGAGATCTCGATTCAAAATCGGCTTTCTAGCCGTGCTACCTTAATAACGTCTCTTTGTCTCAGTTTACAAACAAAAGTGACGATTATTAACGAAAAACTCACAACACACAACATTTTAGGTTGCTTGGGAGGTAACGTGTGCTGCAACTACCTGCCTTTGCCCCGAGCAAAAGCAGCCACAGACTGACTATACACAAGCACAACCGGCACGCAATCTGGGTCTCTCACACACGCACGCACCGTCGGAGTTTACAGCACACAGCACGCAAACACAAAACCGGCCTGCAAGGGGTCAGAGAGGGGACACTCGAAACTTCACTGGCGCCAGATGGTCTCTGTGGCAACGAGTCGACGCCCCGCACGCGCAGGCGCAGCTCCACGGTGCAGAGCCCTCTGGGAAATGTAGTCTCGGGCCGCGCAGAGGGTTCCGGGGGTTTTGTGGCTCAAGACCCCACTGCTGGCCTGGAGGGAGGCCCCGCAGCCCTTCTCCAGGTCAGTTTATCTCCAGACTGTCTCCGATAGACAGGTGCCAAAGAACCCGCGCCCCTCTAGCCTGGCGTTCTGGGCGTGGCTCTCCACCGCACGTCACGCCCCGGAGGCTTCTGGGAGTCGCAAGCTAAATTCGTAGCTCGCAGGGTCCTTCCGAGGACGGCCGGTTCGAGCCCGGATGAGACCCGGGCGCAGGGCGGGCCCGGTGCTGCGGTTTCTGCGACATGTACGTGGAGGCCAGCGGGGCGGTGAATTGGGGGGGTTTGGATTTGGACAGGTCACAGTAGGTGTTTGTTGCCGTTCGAGCGCTCACAGTGTTCTCTTGGAGGGGAGCCGCGGCTGTTCAGAGAAGGCCCTCTGCGGAGCCACCTGATTCTACACAGGTGCGGGCCGCTGTGCTAATTGCAAGCACGTACTTCCGTAGCCTGGCGTCATGGGGCGGGACCTCGGGCCGGGGGCTGGCACAGTGAGCGGTGAGCGCA